TCCCTCGGGGGCCGCTCGGGCGGAGCGCGGTCACAGTCCTGTTTCCCGTGGCAGCGCTAAGGCCACTCGCTCACCTGAAGGGCTGTGCTGGTGCCGCCTCCCAGGCTGGCAGCCGGGGCAGCTGGGCACCCCTGCGCAGGGAGGACTTGTCTGTGTCTGGGGGGGGATGTGGTTAAGAGCCAAAGGGTTTGGGAGTGTGGGGAGGAGGGCTGCTCTTCTGATACCGAAAAAAGTGTTATTGCATCATTGGCATAGGACGCTGGGAGCTGCTGTTGGGGGTTTAGTCCTGGTTGTGGAACACAGGTATTTTCTAGCTCTTAAAGTTATTTACGGTGACCCTCAGTTTTCCTGTGTATGTAAAATGTTATTTAAATATGGAATTGTACTGCAAAGTTTGTGCACAGCTGAGCTCAGTGATGAAAGAAAACATTGTACTTGCCTCATCACACGAGATTAAATACTGTAACAACCTCTTTAATGAAAACAAAATAGATTACTTTTTTTTTTTTTCCTTTCTATTAGGTGCAGACATTGCTTCAGCAAATGCAGGACAAATTTCAAACCATGTCTGACCAAATAATTGGAAGAAATATCCTTTTTTTAAAGTCAGATAGGTGCTATACAGTACAGAATCATAGGTATTTTAAAGTGTATTTACCAGTGGGATTTGTAAGATAAAGTGACTGTAAGAGTTTGAGCAAAGAAGTAACTAAAAACAAACAAAAAACCCCAACCGCTACTGGATTGCAGTGATATTCCTTAACTCCAGTGAACTTGATGACATGAGCTGTCGCATAGACGACCTGGAGAAGAACATAGCAGACCTCATGACGCAGGCGGGGGTGGAAGAATTGGAAGGCGAGAACAAGACCCCTGCTGCTAACAAGAGTTAAAGTGAGACAATTGCTTGCTAGCCTTGAAACAAATCCTCAGGTCATGTGATATTACCGACTTTAAAGTAGATGGACTTTTTCCTTTGTTTTGTGAAGTAGTCTGAAAATAATTCAGAGCAGCTCTGTACATTATAATCCAAGAAGCTTTAAAAAGCTCCCTTCAGCAGACTCCTACTAGCCTCTTCAGCAAGGATGTTTTCTTCACCAATACTGGGAGGAGAGTTAGTTTTGAGGAAGTGTGGTAGCTATATTCATCCTCTGTTACTCACTCTGGTACTCTTAGTAAGATCTGAATTAATGACTGTCTTTGCAGCATGGGAAGGAGAAGAGATAGGGAAAAACATCAGTAGCAAAGCAAGCTGTTCTCTTCCCTTCTCTCATCATATTTGAGCCTTCTGAAAAGGAGCATAATCTCTTGCACGTTACCAACACCTGCTCCGACTTCCATAGCTCCAAAGCTAGTGTGAGCATGGTGCTACTCTTCCATCTTCTGCTCCATCCTGTAGACTTCAGCTCCTGCTAAGCTGCTAAAGCCTGTAGACTCACTGATGTGCACAGGGGCTAACAAGTGAGCTACTGTCGATCAGCTGTAAATTCCTCCTGTGTAAGTTAGGCGCTTGCTGGGCGTACGTGACTTGCACACACCATGGCAAAGCAGCAGATCCTGACTCGGACAGTGTAAGGCAACACTCAGACATGAGGCAAGGTGTATTCTAGGGCAACGCTCCCTGGAAAAAGAAATGTCTTACTGAAAGGTAAATGTGATATTATTATATATATTATACTTATGTAATTTCTCAGTTGATAACTTGCCCCTATATTACACAAAAACATTAGGGAAGTAGATATTTCCTCTACTTGGCAAGCCTAGTACAAAAGCATGTAAATAAATTGAAGTGATCAGGTAGGACCACACACAGCATTGACAAAAATTGCTAAAGGCATTCAGAAGATGGGGGTAATGCAAGAGTGCCAAAACTATCACAGCATAAACAAGGTGTGTCTGTAGAGCATAATTATAATTAGTGACCCCTAAGATTTCACTTCAGTTTCTATAGAATTTGATTTTTGTAATCCATGGAAGGTAACTTTTTTTAAGGTGGCTAGGTAAGATAGGTCTCAGCCTCTCTTAAGCTTGAAATTCTGAGGTGACGTCTAGAATACTATGCAGCCTGTATAGTAAGCGTGTGTGTGTGGAAGGGGTATGTGTCTTGCTTGTTAAGGCACCTATTTTTGTGATGCTTTGACAGAAATACAAAATATTATGGGCTTCAATGGCCCCGGTGCCCGTTCCCTTAGCCTGAACCCCACAAATGAAAATTTCTGATGAGCATTATTCTCTTAATTCTTCTCAGTGATACTTTTTTTTTTTCATTATTTTTCCCCAACAGGTTGCCAGTAACTTAAGATGAATCCTGGAAGACTTCTCATTTTTTTTCCTACAAATCCTTGGAATTACAGAACAGCTTTTTGCAACTACTGTGTGTAAAAGCATTTTTATATTGTTACAGAGCTTGCATTCCTAATGTATATTGTATAGTTAGGGATAGGTTAGTTTATATTTTGATTTGTGTACTGTAATTTCACTTTTTGAATTCTTGTTACGAGGATCAATTAGTTGTGTTATTAAAACACAGATCTTATGGATCTCAACTGGGTGTATTTTTTTGTGAAGTCACATTTTTCTCTTTCTTACACTTTTTCTAGACATTTCTTTTTCAATAGCTAAACATGTAGTGACTCCTGGTAAATGGAAATCTTAACTTGTCCTATGTAACTTTGTGGAGTGAAGCACAAGATTGAAACTTAGCATTAATCTTAGCTCTAGTTGAGGACTATGTGTTGTTTTCTCATAAATGTAATAAGGTGATTTGGGGAACATAAGATGTCGAACATCAAAATCATATCTCATTCTCTTGGTGTTACCTTAACCTGTATGTTCCTGGAACGTAAACCAGAAATAGAGATTTAACATTAGAGACATCTGTACACAGTTGAGCAACCACTGCCATTCAAATCTGTTCTACTTAGACAGAAAAGGAACTGTTAACTATGAAAAATCTCACTATGGGATTTAAATTTTTTAATACTGTAAAACTTTACTTTGAAACTGATAATGTGTCCTTTAGCATCGCCTTTGAACGATAATTACGGTTACAATAGTGATACTGGGCAGAATAGGGATGGGATGGAGGCAGTGTCTATGTGGTCTTTCTGTTTAAATGCCTGGCTTGTGCTGAACAGTTTGCTAACCAACAATGATACACTGAGCAGCAAAATGGAGAGAACCCAGTTAGAATTGTAAAGCCTCACTTCTCTTTGAATAACAGCTGGCTGGAACTCTTCAAAGTATTTGGTTTAGAAAGGCGTTTGCTTTTATAGTCATATCCACGTTTATTGGCCTGGAGATTAATGGGTTACATTAGAGTATTTTGGCAATGAAAAGTATATTTAGAACAGTCTGTACTATGTCACTTATGAAGAAAAATGACCAATGTCAGGTATTACTGACAATCACTGCAACGCTCCTCCAGCTTGAAGTATAAATTTAAGAAAGCATTAGTGGCAGTCGGCAGTTATATGTGGACCACACTTAAGACTGCTCTTTGAATGCCACCAAATTAGCGCCTATGGATTATGAACGCAATATGACAGGTCATTTTTCAAAACGGGAAATTGTAATAAAAGCTCGTAATAATAGGGGAATTTTGTGAACACGGGAAATGTATCAATATACCTTGTAATACCAGCCTTAGGCTCTTTGTAATGTCATTTTAAAAATCTAATAAACTATTATGTGGTAACAAATAGTTAGGTCATATGTATTAAAGCAAAATGTAGCATAAGTATATCATTATATGTGAGATTGTATTTAGTTGTAAGTTATAGAAAGACATCAGCACAGCTGCTGCTTAAAGATAGTCCAGATCATAGGTGTGTTTTGTATAACAGAAGGGTGAGCACAATTCATACCCTGTCAAATCTGGATTTTACCAGGTAATTACAATATAGATGAAATTCACAGGGAAGCGTATTAAAGCGGAGGGTCATTTTGTATGATGTTTATACCACTCTAAGTTCTCATCTGGCCATCTTCTTGTAGGAGAAATGGTCATTGTTGAATTTGCTATTTGAAAGGACACTGTAGAGAGGTTGGTGCTGGTCTCTTCTCACAGGTAATTAATGACAGAACAAGAGGGAATGGCTTCAAGCTCCAACAGGGTAGGTTTAGACTGAACATTAGGAAAGAATTTTTCACAGAGAGAGTGGTCGGGCACTGGAATAGGCTGCCCAGGGAGGTGGTGGAGTCACCATCCCTGGATGTGTTTAAGAGCTGTTTAGATGTGGTGTTGGGGGATATGGTGTAGGGGAGAACTTTGTAGAGTAGGGTAGATGGTTGGACTCGATGATCCCAAGGGTCTCTTCCAACCTAGACAATTCTATGATTCTATGCTTGCACTACCCTATATACAGCAGTATAAAGCCTGCTTTCCTGAAGTTTATTTTGTCAGAAAACTTACTGGAAAATTATTTCAGCTTTTAGATTTGAAACACTTTTTAGTGGGGATAGTTTCCCTCAGTAATTTAATACTGAACTGATTTTGAAAAGTAACAATTCAGTTCAAACCAAGCCTTTCAGACAGGGAGGTGTTACTTGTAGCTCTTTAAATATTGTGTATTTTTGAGAAACATTTTTTATTCCTACTCCAAACAAGTGATAGAGCTTCTACATATAAACAGCACACGCAAGCCAAAGTAGAATCCCTTTTGGTCACAATTTCCTAAAGTGCAGTTAGTTTAATACACAAAGCAGAAGATGACTCTTCTTAAGTGTTACTTTATATGGAATTGATAACACTTTACAAAATAGTAGTGGTGTGGTGTTTTTTTTTCTGAATCTGCTGGTTCCCATCTTATCTGACAAATGTTTGTCCTTTCCACTGGGCTGCCTCACTTGCAAAGAAAAAAAAAAAGTTAGGATCAAGCTGGTGAACAGGGACTTTTTTTCTTTTTCAAATGTAAAGAAAGATGTTTCATGTATTCATTTCAGTCAAACTGCGTAGTCTGACTGTAGTCAGGAAACTCTGATTTCCTTGTACAAGCAGGCGTGGTGGATGCTGCGTTTTCCAGTTTGCCATTCAAAGCTGGTGTAGCTTTGAGCAGCCCTGCTGTCATTCACAGGCACAGCAGCCCCGTGCTGCGGCACCACAAGGGACTGCTCTGCCCGCATGTGTGTCTGCTCTCCTCTGCCTCCCGCCTGCCTGCAAGCGGGGAAACAGTCTGGTTTGATAGGTGCCATCTAGGAGGAGGTGAAATAGATGGCAAACGCACCCTATTGAACTTGCTGCTTCCTGCGTTCTTTCCTGTCCCAGCCCAAGCAGCTCGTAAGAGGACAGCAAAGCTACTGTGCGTAAGTGAGCACAAGGTATGGAATTACACAGAACGAGTCTACGGGTCCGGCATTTATGGGGAAAAGGAAGGACAGGTCAGGATGGAGAAGACAACCCCCTGCTCCTGGGTTCCTCAAGCTCTCCATTGTTTCTGCTGTCACCTGTCACCACTTCTACTCCCTATTTCCATTACCACCGTCCTTTTCAACCCCTGCTTCTCTTCCACTCTGACTCTTCAGAGCTCAATTGCAGCTGTTACTGAGGAAAAAGCCATTGTTTCCAAACTTTCCAGGCAACTACTAACTATAGATGCTCTTTCACAAAAGATCTACAGTAAGAACAGCAAACAGAATCTTTTTTTTTCTATGGCAGGAATTATGAGTGACACCATGCAAGTTTTCAACAACAGTTTTCATAGCCAATCATTAACAGCAGTATTGTTTCCCGAATGCTCCAGCTGAGACCTGAGAACCCAGAAACAAGCTGAGTATCACAGGAGCTGCATGGCCCATGCATTTCACGCTGTGCAACAGAAATAAATTTGAAACTCTCCTCTTGTCTGGTGTCTTAATTCCCATCTTTAGCAGGAGTGATAATCCCTCAGTACAGAGGAACACTGTTACAATAAATCCGTGTATTGAAACACTTGGGCCAACTGATAAGTGAACCAGAATTATGGTATCCTTAAGAGGATTTTTCATTTAATCTCTGCTCTGAAGACAATATATGGTAAAAAAGACTGCACACAGACAGTTCTTCAACTAATACCATCTGGTCCATGCACTAAATGAAGCTGGTTATAGGCCAGAGAGTCACACTAAACCCCAACACTGCTGTCTGGAAGCGCTGGTTTCGAAGCCCTCCTTTCCCTGAGCTGAGCCCGGGTCTCCCAGGCGCCTGGCACAGACCAGTGCCGCCACTGCTGCCTGCTTTGGGACGGAGCTCAGGAGAAAGCACTTGGACTTCGTCTTGCAACTCTCGCGATCTATTGTTGGCAGTGCAGACAGGGAACAGTTGTGCAAATTCATGTTATCTGTCCTCCTCTACACTTACTGTCGCAACGCTCCCAGTAAAGTACCGCTGGTCCCTTTCCCCAGATGGACTGAAGCACAGGGAATTGGTTTGCCTGAGATGACTGTGGAAATCAGTAAGAGACCTAACCCGCCTGTCCCAAAGCCTGGGGCAGCGCTGAAGTCACTGCCTGGTTCTTCCTCCCAACTTGAAAGCTCAAGGAATTCAGACACTGCCTTCAAAAAGAAAATAATTTTGATTCCATATGGCTTTGCTGTGAAACACCTGTAACGAAGGCCAGAGACACTGTCCACTCGCGCTCTAAAACTACACCTGGGTCCGCAGTTTTCCTGGAGGTATTCACATGGAATTATTTAATAAAGCTTTTTACTTTTCCTCGAGATTATAACTCTCTAGCAGATACTGCCTCCTAGTGGGCACACTCTCACTAATAGGAGGAACACTACAAAGATTAATTATTCAGTTACCTTTAATGTACAAGTTCAGATGTGAGGACTTTAATGAGCCACATGCTGTTTTGAAATGTGGTTATTACACAAGACACTGAGGCTTTGTTTACAATTAAGAAAGTTAATAGGATACACAAATCCCTTCCTGAGCTTTAAGCCTTACTGTACTTTGAAAAGACCCGATGCTTGCTGATTTATTTATTTATTTTTTCTGACTGATGCAAAGGTAATGAAATTAGGTCATTAGGAAAATCAAGCATGGGAATAGAAACTTTACATCTTAGAAGCACTCTGAGAGAAGAAAGGTTAAACAGGAATTGTCTCTCTGAAAAATGCACCTGGGTTAATAGAAAGTGCTCTTTTATGTCATTTTGCTACAGACCTGACAATTTTATTTACAAAGCTCTTGTAGTTAGATACGTATGTAAAAAATTCTTCAGTTTACAAAGCTGTAGAATATACAATCCTTGCTCAAGCGATTAAATCCTCTTCGAAATAATAGCAACTGGAGAAGTGATGGAGTTAGGTGTTTCTCAGGTCTCAGATTTATAGATGTTCATATGACAAGTCTGGATGGAGGACCCGTGAGCCTTTTGTGCAAGCCTCCGGAAAGATATGGAAAATATAACAAAATAATCCATCCTCTTATGGCCAAAATGGAGAAAACAGGCAAAGGGCTACCTGAAAAATGGAGTCAAAAGAAATGAGAAAAATAACTTCAGGCTTCACAGCGGATGAGTGGCTGAGCCAGGCTTTAGATGTAAATCTTTCTGAAGTGACCTGCAAAAACACTTGAGACAGACTGTGTAGCACTTCTTGCCTGTCCCCTAAAACAGGCAGGCAGGCAGGTGTACTGGCAAGATGAGGATCTGCTCCTTCACATCTGAATTCCCTTCAGAGTTTTGACCAGAAAAAACCCCATGTGCTGCATCGAATGCTTGTCTTCAGTGAAAGACATCCCAAATTTTGATGCAGCATAGCGTTCTGTTATATGTAGGTGTCAAGCGGAGAAATGTTTGTCCAAATGCTGCCTCATGGGTATGCAGGAATCTTGTCAGCTGTGGCTGGGTGGATTCCTGATGAAGATCTGCCTGGGATTCTGCCAGCTGACATTTTCTCTCACTCCGGCTCAAAGTAATTCACCTGCAGAGCACCTCAGTTTTCACTTGTAACATTACACCTCAGTCCAATTCCTCTCTCTCTAAGAATACAAATTTCCCAAAGGATAAAGGTTTCTGGTTCCCACAGAGCTCTAATAAATATTTCACTTATTTCTGTTGCAGACCTGTCTGGTTTTGAAGACCACATCCCTGTCTCTTTAAAGCATACATGGGAAGCTTTTTGCATTTTAACCTGCACCACCACGCTGGAGGAAATCACTGAATTCAGCAGTTCTCTCTCCACTGGCATAGAAACATCAGCTCCTTAGGAGCATCACAGGAAGCTTTCCAGGAAGTTTTTGTTTGTTCGTTTATTTTTACATGCACTTTGAGAAGTCAGCAGGCCGAGTATATCCAGGACAGACATGGTGTAGTTTGGGAACATTAAAGCAACTGATAATACAGAGGAAAAAGAGACCAACTTTAAGACATGAGGCTATCTGCTAATTTCTAGGCATTTAAGACTCCTCGTTTGAAGACCGTGTGTGATGAAGTGACCACCATGGTCTCGGCTCTGACATACAACACATCCCAGTGGCAATAGTGAAGGAACATTCGTTAGCTTCCCGAGAGGCTGCTCAACAGCAGAACGGCAATTCTTTTAGTTTGCCCACTGCTATAAAACAGGAGTTTTGTATCATACAGCAGGTGCCCAATTCAGTTAGACCGTAAGAGGCAGAAATTCAGCCAAATCCTCTCTTCAAAACATGTTCACTCTAAACAATATTCTTTAGTTCTAGAAGGCAACAAAAAAAAATTAATCAAAGAGCACAGCAATAATTAAATATCTAAGGCCCCAAACTGCAAATATCATTGATCTTCACAAAAAGATTGATTGATTTTGCAAGGATTTTGCTCACTTGTGAAGTACCAGAAAGAAGACCCTTCAAGGCTCATCACCAGATCTTTCAGGAAAAAGCATGTGAATTTCTCCCTGGCTCTACAGAGCAGTAAATTTGTAATGACTGGCCACCAAAGATAAAACACCCTGAGTGATTCCTCACCTAAGCTCATGCTGAGAAACACAAGTACAGGACCTCAATCATGTTATTATCTTTTAAAAAAATACCTAGTTCCAACAACTGAAAGAGTGATTGTTAATGAATGTTAATGTGATATCAGGAGGGAAAAACCAAACCAAAACCTTACACTTTTTCCAGTGAAGCCAGCCCTCCTGCTATTGACACACAAAACATGATAAATCAGACCAAATGCTCTTAAAAAATTAATGGGACTGCAAATGTTAAAATTAATGACAAATGCAATCGACATTTATTAGAAGGGACATCACTGGGATCTCCAGCAAGTCAGGCAAAAAATTTAATCAGGTTCTTATCAGAGGGTTACAAATAGATGTGTCATTTTAATAAATTTGACAAGTGTACCATGCAACTGAGAACTGGGTGCATCTTAAAATACAATTAACGTATCCTTGAACAGGATTCACTGCTCTGGAAATTCCTGGCAAGTCTTTTTTCCAAATTATTAGTGTTACCCCATTGTATGAGAAGGTACAGAATTGTGCTCTTCACGAGTAGCCCCAATTCTCACCTTTTTAACTGAACATTTTAATAAAAAATGTATTCAGAAGCAGTACAGAATCCATAAGCAAGAGCTCTTCAATTCTTTGAGCGCTGCAGGTGGCAGCGGCGGAGATGATTGGGGTACTGGTGATAATCTAGTTTTAAATGTTCTTAAATTTATTTTTATACAAGGTCCTCACATTTCTTTCAGTTCAGAACCACTTTTAAATAAAAATCAAGAGAGCGGTTTAAGACTTTACTACTGAGCAACTGTGGAAGTGAATACGACCACGAAGTTTTAATTGCTTCACAGAGATCCCAGACATGCTCAAGGCCTTCCCCCCACAGCCCCACTAAAGACACTGTTTGGGATCCAAGGTGATTGACGAGCTAGATTATTAGTGTCACTCATTAGGAAGAAATGGACTAAATTGAAGCCCTTGAAGGGAAGGTCTGTCACTTGCACAACAAAGCTTTCGTTTAAATTCCATTTTGAGCACTTCTAAAACAGGCAACAGTAAACAATATTTAGCAGAATGACACCATCTGCCTTTTTTTATTTTATTATTATCTTTCCAGTGTTTGAAGCAAGGATTTAGTTATAAATACTGACAACTGGCACTATAAATTATGATTTTCTGCTCTCTGCATAGTCGGGAGCAAAAACAAATAAAGTGCAGATTTAAATCTCAGTTTTCACACACTATTGAGCTTGTGAGATGTGTTTACAGATTAACCCGTTCCTGCCTCATGTTCATGGGAGGGGACATGGACACTGCTGAAGTACATTCACTGAGGTTTGAAATTGGTTCTGCATTTGGTTGCGCCACCTGGAACTGGGGATAGGGTTCTGCTTCCTGGAGATAACGACCAGATGAATGGCTGAAGGAGAGGAGCAATAAAAACCAGGCACCTCTGCATCTCTACTTGG